TCATTGATTGATTTAGTTGACAACTTCTGCATCCTCTCGCTTCTGCTTCTGAAGCTGTTGGAACAGTCCAACTGCCGCTGGGCTGGGCCGGGCTGGGCTCGGCAAAAGAGAGAGGCCAAATGATCTGAAATACCAGGCCCCTGTTCAAATGTCCTATAAGCATGTCAGAAATGTGCTGATGAATTGACACAAATATTTATATAAATAGAAACTTTATAAAATGTCAAAGTAACAGAGGGCAGATTTTCATCCAGAGCCTGGAACACTGAAAACCGAGATTCTTTTCTTCCTCATCTCCCACCCTTCCCATCTCCCACTCTCCCTACATTTCACATATTATATCTTAACACTTTTCACAAAACCATTAAGTTTTGAAATTGCAGTTGCATTGACGTATCTTGAATGTATTTTCTCATACTATCAATGAAAAAACTGAGTCCCAGAGTAGGGAAGTAATTTACCAAGATCACACAACCAGGTTTAGCAATAAAGCCAAGACTCTATCACTGGTTCTCTAATTTCTCATCCATAATTCTCCTTTGGAGTCGTGTTGTCTCAGGACCTAACATCACCATATTCCCCCCTTCCTCACCAGAATAAACTAGATGGGGCTTATTAAACTGGTAATGAAGAAGGCTGATGCATAAAAAAAGTCCTTTAGCCTTTTTCTTTATGCATCTTAGGGAAAATCAAGCTGATTGGGGCATATAACAATCTCTAAGTCTAGCAAAGGTTGCTTAATAAATAAATCACCAGCCTGTTTCCAAGGAGAACAGATGAAGGTGGAGGGGGAAAAGATGATATTAAAGCAATTAAATTAGAGTTAAATTCAGCATATTTGATGCATAATTAATTAGTGATGGGGTTTGAGGAGAAGGGTAAGCTGTTTGAATGATCCTATCTCCCTTGGGGACCACTGCCCATGTTTGACATTTGCCAGTCAGGACTGGCAAGTGTCTGTACATTTGTTTATTCCTCTCTGTGCCTCTCTTTTTCTGAGGATAAAGGGTAAGACACAAAACAGTCTGTTTTTCTGGGCATCCAGGGCAGGTGCAAGAATTATGTGTACCTGGGAGAACACTTTGCTGTCAGGGATGGGAAGCAGCCATTCTGTTTTCTTAAGAATGCAGAAACCTAGTGCTTCAGCCTTTCCTAAACTGGGAGCCCATGCTGTTCTGTTGGGACATGCCTCCTTGAACCTTCCTTGGCTCACTCCAGCTGTTTCCCATGAAGCTATAACACAGCTCAGGAAAGGAGAGAAGTTGCTGAAAAGGAAAATAAATGGAAAAGAGAAGACTGACCTTCTTGCCTCCATTCTCAATGACTCATTCTTATGTACGTGTGGTAGAGGGGACATTTGTCCACTCATGGACCCCAGGCCTAGTATGAGAAATAACCCTGTCTTCTGTCTTCCAGCACTTTCTACTAAAGCTAGAGGCACAAAGTCAACCTTGTCAGGATTATCATTATCAGTATTATTATTTTGCACAGAACTTGAAGGAGAGATGGAGAGAGAAGCCATGATGGTTTAGACTTAAACTGCCCTTCACTTCCCTCACCCATTATCTGGGCTAAATGCTGTCCCTGGTTCCTAGGCCCATTGCCTTCTGAAATCATCCTGAAGTGTCTCCCTGTTGGCTCAGCTTTGCACCATCTGAAAATGCTTAGTATTATCTAAGAGCTTGGAATCTATCACCGTGAACCCTCTTTTCGGATCAAGAAGACTGGTCTCAGAGCAAATCCCAGAGCAGGCCTTCTTTTACTCATTTACATTAATCATTCTTGCAATTCCATTGTGACTTCATTCCTTTTACATTGTGTCTAGGGTGGAACATTCTCCAAGTTTCTACACAGAGGCCTTTCTGAAAGTCTAAATGATTGTTTTCAATATTTCATTCTTAGCTACACGTATCTTCTGTAATAATTCTCGTAAGTTAGGCAGGCCTGAGTTCCTACAACAGCAACTATGAAGAAACGACTCTCTTTCTGTGTGTGTGTTTTCTGTGAACGTTACACTGTGGCTTGCTGCACCGAATAATTCTAAGGAGTTCATCTTGATGAGGTCTATATGGGTGAAGGATGGGTAAGGTATAATCTTCAGGAGTAATATTTTAGGATCCAAGTATTCAACAACAATAAAAAAAAATCTCAGAGAGCACTACTAAAAAAATAAGGTAGAAACCTGGAGAGAGGGCCTTTCTCCTGGGCTTCAAGAAGTCTAAGGACCTAAACAGGTCCTCTGGGGGATACAAATATAAAGTGGTGTTATTTGCTACACAAAAACTGTGTCTTTGAGTAAGCAGAAAAGGAACCTTTGTGGTAAATCATGAGCTGAAGATGAGCTAGATTGTCCAGCTTTGTGATGCCCTCCTAGCAGGTGATATTTCTTGAGTTTTGTCAAACTTTTAATAAAATAATTTCAAATATTTCAGCTTTGATCCAGCCGAGTTGCATACAATCAAGAAATTACCCCCTTTCAATCTCTGGACCTAAGTTTTAGAAGGGGCACAGAACCTCAGGCCAGAGTTGCCGCAGCAGCAACTATTAGGGAGTAAATATCTCAAGAAAAAAAGTGATTTACTTGTGTGGAAGGTAGGCCACTGGGTATTCTTCCCCGATCCATTGACCCATCAAGGTTGTTTTCTTTACAGCGCCAGTTTTGGAAGGGGTTTGGTTTTATGTGTATTTGTTTTAATAGAAGCCATGTCAAATGTCTCTGTATGGTGTGGGTTGCCTCCATGTTTCAGAGAGGTCAAAGATTACACAAGTCATCAAGAGCATAGACTATGCAGCCAGGCCACATAGTTCCACCAATCCTACTATATTTTATCTGTACTTATCAGTTACATTATCTCCAAAATGATAACTGTGTCTGTTTAATTAGCTCATGGTGGATTAGTTGTATTAAACCATTTAAAGCATATAGCACAGTGTCTAGTACTGTGCTCAATGAATGGGAGCCGTGGCTGCTGATGCTGTTATTATTATTTACTATGGTAAGTGCTCAATGTTGTTGTTGTTATTATTATTATTTATTATGGGCGTCCTCAGCCTCCAGAGTATGAAATGCAGACTCATTGATCTGACCAAAAGGTCTTCCAAGTCCTTTTTTTTTAGGAAAGCCATGAGCCACTATCCACAGCACCAACTGTTTATGTCAATAAATGATCCACTGTGATCAGTTCTCCAACTTACCCCCAGAAGTTTTACAACCAGTCAGCTGAACAAAACTGCTCATTTGTGATAATTCTTTATACCTAACTTGTCAAGGTTAGTGATCCATGGCACATCGTATTATTTTCTCTGGAGTCTCAGCCTTATTTGCCAAGAAAGACACTTTAGGAGTGGGATTGCCTTTTAAAAATAGAAATCTTCAAAAAAGTCCCAACCAGAGAGGTTAGTTCTTCTGCTCATCAATCTTCATTCCTGAAGTTTCACTTGTTTTTCTTTTCTTCCTTGAATGGTAAACTACACCGTCATCACCATTATACAGCCCTAACTAGGGAACGTAAGTATGAAACCCTCTAGAGTGCATTTCAGAAATCACTCTCCTGTTCAACAAGTCAATACCTTCACCTTGGTTTGATGACGCATTCTGACCATCCTGACTTGCTCCCATTATTTCTTCTTTAACTCACTCTTTCATGTTTCCTTCTAATGTCCCTCAGGAGCAGAATAAGATAGGAAGACGGCACAGAGATAAATATGTACTGATTGCCTGCTATGACTCTCCCAAGTACTTCACTACACAGGCTCCATTCATCTCTTAGTATTGCTCATGGCTGAAGAAGGTAGCGCTTATTGTAGACTTACTTTGTGTTTGCTACTTCATAGATACTGTCTTACTTAATCCTCATACGCTAACCCTCTGGAGTAGGTATCATTATTCCCAGAGTAGAGATAGAAAAGAGAACATCAAAGGCTGAAGCAACTTGCTTAAGGTTATACAAGCAATGAGAAAATAGCAAAAAAAGAAAAAAGAAAAAGAAAGAAAGTAGCAGAGGCAAGGTTTGAACCCAGGAGGATCCATCTGATTCTAAAGTTTATGTTCACCCCCTACAAAAGAACAGGTAATTGGTTTAAGAAATTATTTAACTATAAAGCAAACTTTAAAAATTTTTATAATAAATTATAATGCTTTCAGTTTTAAATAATGATTAAATTAATGTATTGTTGTTTAAGGCATAAGGGAATAACATTAAAAACATGGATGAATCTTGAGAATAGCATGCTAAGTGAAGGCAGTCAGAAAGAAGTTAAGAACCATATGATTTTACTCATATGTGGAATATAAAACTGAAAGCAACAAATGAACAAACATGGAAAACAAACAAACAAAAACTCATAAACACAGACAGCAGCATAGTGGTTACCAGTGGAATGAAGGGTAGGGGTAATAAAGGGTAAAGGAGTTCAAATATATGGCGACAGAAGATTTGACTTTGGGTGTTGAGCACGCAATGCAGTACACAGATGATGTAGCATAGAATCATGCACTTGAAACCTATATAATCTCATTGACAAATGTCACCCCAACAAATTTAATTTTAAAATAAATAAAATAAAATTATAATAAATTACTTGAGTTCTACACGATTTTGGAAATCAACTGAGATTTTATTCTCAACATCTATCACCTAGCTTAAGGATTACAACTTCCTTCCTTTTAACGAGACCTTGAAAGAGGCAAATTAGATCATGGCATGAGGGAGCTAAGAATACTATAATTAAACCTAAAACAAAGGAGAGTTATAGCAATCACACTCTTGCTATGGTGTCAATGTTTAACACTAACTTATGTGTTACCCCTACCAAGACATTTGCATTCCAGCAAAATTATGCCCTAACCTCAAATAATGAGCTTTCAATTGTAGATTCTCAGTCGACTTTGCAGGCCTGGAGTTGAGCTGGCTGAGAAAAAGTACATTTTCCATGTATCTCTAATCACATAATAGAAGATCTGCCCAGCCTGCTTTATCCTCCCCGCCTTCAGAATTTACCTGAGACGTAGAACTGCATGCTTCTCTCATCAATGCCAACCTTGTTTATAGCTATGCAGTAGTATATACCAGAAATGTTGCTGGTCAATATCTTCAGGGTGCTCAGAGTCTAAAAAGAGAGAAGTGATGCATTAGTCACAGTTAACAAGGTATAGTAGTTATTAAGGCTATTCACCAGATATTTCTAATTCTTGCCCCTTTCAGGCACATAGTAGGTTTTCCTTCCTGGAACCCTTGTGATTGAGCGGGGCCATGTGACTTATTTATGGCCAAGGATTTGAGAATACAAATGATAGTTGGTCTTTTCGAAGCTGGACCACTTAATTGCTATGGTGAATAACCTTCTATTCCAGAAAGAAAGATCCTCCATAGTTCTTTCTTTCTTGAGTAATGATGAGCAGTGTTTGAGATGATGGCTAATCTTGCCAGCCAGCATCCCTAAATGACTACAATAAAAAAAACCCTCCTTTCTTATGTGCAATTGGATATATAGCATGGGCAAGATATAAACCTTTGTAATTTTGAACCAAACAAACTTTGGAGTTGTTTGTTTTCATAGTACAACCTGGCCCATCTTGATTAATACATCAGGTTACCTTGGAAGTGGGGCTTTATTTATTCATTAATTCAACAAACATTTTTTTCAAGGGCTTCTCTGAATGTTGACCTCTTGGAAAGGGAGTGAAAATATGAAATTATTTAATTTCATGAGGAAACAAATATAAACATAGAATCAGTCACAAGCCTGTCATTTGAGTTAATTTCCCAAGTCAACTCAAGTTTCAAAATAACAACATAATATTTAATACTTTTTACTGTGTCAGATATAATAATAAACATTTTATACATGTTATCTCATTTAATCTTCCCCAAAACTCTATAATATAGAAACTCTTAATAACACCTCTTTTTACTGATGAGGAAACTGAAGCTTAGAGAAGGAAAATAACCCACAAAAGTCAAAAGCTCAGAAATAATGGAGGTGACATTCAAATGTAGAGCCATAGTTTGACTTGAGAATCCCTGTTTTTTTTTAACCACTGTATTTTACTGCCTTGAAAATTAAAATCACTCTGGCTAGTTAATAATAATAAAAAAACTATTATTATTTTAGAAGAAAGTGAAAAATCCAAGTCTCATTTTTTTTTAACCATTAGAATTAACCTCTTTCCCACTAGGTCTTTTGCTTACAATGCCTCTGAAGTTATTTGTTCTTTTCCTATTCATTGGTTATTATGGAGATAAACAATAAAAAGAATTTAAAGGTGAATGGAGAAGATGAAAGAAGCCTAGATAAAGACTAAACTGAATTAAGTGGCCTCTGTAGAGCCAAAGTACCTTATTATCTGAGAGTGGAGCATGGGTAAAAACTCAGGATTCTGTTGGCAAGAATGAGATTTTTCCCACTAGCCTTCTCTCATCAGCAATACTTCTTTTAGAACCAGTTTACCAAGAGGCTTATGGGAAAAAAATATACGCTTATCGATATTAACTAGGCCAAATTATTATTTTTTCCTTAAAAGTGTCTTGTCTCAGGCTATGGAGTTACAGATTATACCACACTAAATAGCTGAGATTCATCAGTTTGGGTTTAGGTCAAGCTCATTACCAGAGTCTAATAGGATTTTCCCTTGAAGATTGTGGCATCTATCTGCAGGGTCTGTCATGCAGATTCTGAAGAAGAAGGTACAGTGACTACTTTTTCAGCAGAGAAAGCACTTTTTCCCATTGTTGTCACTGACCGGGTAGGAACACCTGAATTTCCTTGCTGTGCTGGTTTACAGTGTGTGCTTCCACAATTATTCATCACATTATGACACCGTAGTTTTTTTGTTGTGAGGGAGGAGAGAGGAAGAAAGGAAAGGAAAGGAAAGGAAAGAAAAGAAAAGGAAAGAGAAGGGAAGGGAAGAAGGAAGGAAAATGTAGAACAAATTCTATATTTAAAATACAGAACTGTATTTAACAATGTGAGACATGATACATTTGTTATGATACACCGGACAGGGTGTAAGGAGACCTGGGTCCTAGTCCCAATTATACCATCAGTTGGATGGAGAACTGTTACTTCCCTAGATTTCAGTTTTCTCATCTGCAGTGTTTGAAGAATAAACAAAGATGAACTCTCAAGTTCTTTATAGCTCTTATCTTCTGTGCCATTCCCTCTAGCTTAATCAACCCACTCACTGAGGTCTCACACAGTTAATACGTAACCAGACCGAGCTGGAACAAAAATCATTTTGAGGGAGGGAATAAATAAGGCCTCCAAGAAAGAATTTGACTCCGTTTACTGTATTTTTCCATATATAATGCCCACTTTTGTGCGCAAATTTTTGAAGGAAAATAAGGATGTGCATTATACATTGTTATAATAATAGGTATAATAATCCTGAGCATAATGTGCACAGAAACATGGGTGCGCATTATACACAGCAAAATACAGTAATTTTAAATAAGATAAATCACTTAAAATCTACCTCTACCTGCTTCTCTTTGTGTCCAAGATTTGTCTCCAAGCTCACAATTTTGACTTCACTCAAAGTTGTCCCTTGAGCACTGTATTAGTTTATGCCTTACAGTAAGATGGATTTTGACCCTTTTGGCCTTCGTGAGCTGGTGTTAAGTCCCATGAGCGTGTTACATTACGTGGCAAAAGAGACTTTGCAGATGGAATTAAGTTTGCTAATCAGCTGACCTGAAGACAGAGAGGTTATCTTGGATTTACATGTCGGCCCAATGTGATCACATGGGCTCTAAAAAGTGGAAGTGGGACACAGAACAGTTAAAGTAATGCAGCACAAGAGGGAGGCAGGACAAGATTGAAGGCTGAGAAGGACTAAACATGATGTTGCTGGCATTAAATCAGAGAAAGGAGGCTATGACCAGGGAATGTGAGTAGCTTCTAGAAGTTTAGAAAAACCTCCAGATGCCAGCCAACAACAACAAAAGGGACAATAGTCCTACAGCACGAGTGAGCTTGAAAGCAGATTTTTTTTCTTAGAGACTCTACAAAAAACTGCAGTCTTGTCAATACCTTGATTTCATCCTTGTGAGACTCTAAGCAGTGGGTCCAGCAGAGCCACACTTTACCTAGACTTATGATCTACGAAAGTATAAGATAATACATTCGTGTTGCATTAAGCTACTAAATTTGTTGCTATCTGTTACAGCCACAATAGTAAACTAACACTACAGAAACACAAAGGGTTTTAAGATAATATTACAACTAATTATATGGCAACAAACTAAAACAACTGGAATAAACTCCTATAAACATATAATCTTACAAAACTAAATAAAAAAGAATAGATTACAACTAATGAAATTGAAGCAGTAATAAAAAAAACAACAATAACAAAAAAGGTCTTAGAATGGATGGCTTCACAGGGTAATTTTATCAAACATTCAAGAGGAACTAACACCTACCCTCCTCAAACTATTCCAAAATATTCAAGCAGAAGGAGGACTTCCAACCTCTTTTTATGAAGCCAGCATTATCTCAATTCCAATACCAGATAAAGACACTACAAAAACAGAAAATTATAGGCCATTATGCCTGGTGAACATAGATCGTCAACAAAATATTAGCCAATTGGATCCAGCAATACATTAAAAAGATCCTACAGATGACTAAATTGGACTTTTCAGGGTAATGCAAAGTTGGTACACTATCTGCAAATCAATAAATGTGATACATACCATGAACAAAATGAAAGATAGAAATCAAACAATCATATCTACAGACACAGAAAAAGCATTTGATAAAATCCAGCACCCATTTATGATAAAAACTCTCAGCCAAATCAGAACAGAGGGATCATAACTTGACATCCTTTTCAACATAGTACTGGAAGTCCTAGCCACAGAGACCAGACAAGAAGATGAAATAAAATACGTATTGAAAAGGAGGAAGTAAAACTGTCATCAATCACAGATAACATGATATTGTTCATAAAAAACCTGGAGGCTCCACCAAAAACTACATTTAATAAGTGAATTTGGTAAAATAGCAGGATACAAAATTAATATCCAGATATTGGTGGTACTTTTATATACCAATAACAAACTCTCATAAAGAGACACTAAGAAAACAATCCCATTTATTATTGCAACAACAAAAAAATAAGGCACCTAGGAATAAACTTAGCCAAGGAAGTAAAAGGTCTGTATTCAGAAAACTATAGGACATTGAAGAAAAAAATAAAAGAATAAACAAAAAAGTGGAAGCATATCCTATGTTCATGGATTGGAACAATTAACATCATTAAAATGTCCATACTACCCAAAGCAATCTATAGGTTCAACACAACTTCTATTAAAATATCAATGGCATATTTCACAGATCTAGAACAAATATTCCAAAAGTTTATGTGGAACCAAAAAATACCCTGAATAGCCTCAGCAATCTTGATGAAAAAACAAAGTTGTAGGGATCACAATACCAGATATCAAACAATACTATAATAAAAACAGCCCGGTACTGACATAAAAACAGGCATATAGATCAATGGAACAGAAGAGAGAGTGCAGAAATCAACCCACACCTTTATGGTCAATTAATATTTGACAAAGGAGTCAAGAACATCCAATGGAGTAAAAACTGTCTCTTCAGTAAATGGTGTTGGGAAAACGGGACTGGTACATGCAAAAAAACCTGAATCTAGACTATTAACTTACACCATACACAAGAATAAACTAAAAATGGATTTAAAAAAAACCACCTTAAATGTAATTCAGGAAACCATAAAAATTCTGGAAGAAAACATAGGCAGTACAATCTCAGACACCTTGCGTAGCAGTATTTTTGCCAATATATCTCCTATGGCAAGGGAAGCAAAGGAAAAAATAAACAAATGGGACTACATTAAACTAAAAAGGTTCTGCACAGCAAAAGAAACCATCAACAAAATGAAAAGGGAACTCACTCTATGGGAGAATATATTCACCAATGATACATCTAATAAGGGGTTAATTTCCAAAATATATAAAGAACTTATATAACTCAATACCAGGAAGACAGACAAACCAATTAAAAAATGGGCAAAGGACCTGAATAAACACTTTTCCAAAGAGGATATATAGATGGCCAAAAGACATGTCAAAAAATGCTTAACATCAATAATTATCAGAGAGATGCAAATTAAAACTACAATGAGGTATCGCCTCACACCTGCCAGAATGGCTACCATCAATAAAGCAACAAACAAGTGCTGGTGAGGATGTGGAGGAAAGGGTACCCTCGCGCACTGTTGGTGGGAATGCAGACTGGTGCAGCCGCTGTGGAAAACAGCATGGAGTTACTTCAAAAAATGAAAAGTGGACCTGCCTTTTGACCCAACAGTCTCACCTCTGGGAACTTATCCTAAGAATCCTGAAACACCAATTAGAAAGAATCTATGCACCCCTATGTTCATTGCAACATTATTTACAATAGCCAAGATTTGGAAGCTGCCCAAGTGTCCATCAGTAGATGAGTAGATAAGAAAGCTGTGATAAATTTACACAATGGAATTCTACTCAGCCATAAAAAAGACAGAAAGCTTACCCTGTAAAACAGCATGGATGGACTTGGAGATTATTACGCTAAGTGAAATAAGCCAGTGAGAGAAAGACAAATACCATGTGATCTCGTTCAGATGTGGAATCTCATGAACAAAATAAATGGCCAAAGTGGTATGGATGTATGAAACAGACTGCAAGATCTCAGGGTGGGGGGTGAGGGGACTGGAAGACATTAGCCAAAGAACATATATGCATATATGTATAGCCCATGGACAAAGACAGCAATGTGAAGGCCAGGGAGGGGCAGGGGCTGGGTGGAGGGGGCAAAATTGTGTAAATGAGGGACATCTGTAATAGTGTCAACAATGAAAAAAGAATGATTACAAGGCAATAGTTTTTAAACCCCATTACAATAGCATCATAATACATAAATTACTTAGTAATAATTTTTAGTTTTTAACTTTATTTTTATTGTTTATATTATTAAAGATGTCCCCATTTTCTCTTCCTCTCCCCACCTAGTAATACATTTAAACAGAGTAGAAAGACCTATAACACATTAATGAAAGAAATTAAAGGACATACAAATAAAGAGAAGGACATAGCACATTCACAGATTGGAAGAATTAATATCATTAAAACGCCCCTACTACCTAAAGCAATATACAGATTCAATACAATCTCTGTTAAAATAAACATAGTGTTCTCAGAACAAGAACAATTAATCGTAAAATTTATTTAAAACTACAAAAGATCCTGAATAGCAAACTTGAGAAAAAAACCCAAAGTGGGAGGTATCGCACTCCCTGATTTCGAGCTGTATTACAAGGTACAATAATCAAAACAGCATTGATCATATAGATCAATGAAACAGAATCGAGAGAGCCCAGAAATAAATACTCATTTATATGGTCATTTAATCTATAACAAAGGAGGCAAGGATACACAATGGTGTAATGACAGGTTCTTCAATAAGTGCTGCAGGGAAAATAGGAGCGATACATGCAAAAAATGAAACTGGACCACTTTCTTGTGCCATATATAAAAACAAACTCAAAGTGGATTTAAGACCTGAAACCATAAAACACCTAGAAAAAAAACATAGGCGGTAAACTTTTTTGACATCAGTCTTAGCAGTGTTTCTTCACATATGTCTCCTTGGTCAAGGCTAACAAAAGAAATTAAAAAACTGGACAACATCAAGCTAAAGTGTTTTTGTAAAGCAAAGAAAACCGTCACTAAAACGAAAAGACAAGCTACTGAATGGAAAAAATATATTTGTAAATGATACATCCAAAAAGGAGTTTATATCCAAAATATAGGAACTCATACAACGTAACACCAAAATATCCAAACAAATTTTAAAATGGGAAGATTACATGAAGAGACATTTTTCCAAACAGAACATACAGATGGCTCATGGTCATGTGAAAACATGCTCAACAGCACTCATCAGGGAAACACAAATTAAAAGCACAATGAAATATCACCTCACACCTGTCAGAATGGCTACAATTACTAAATCGACAAACAAGAGCCGGCAAGGATGTGGAGAAAGGGGAACCCTTTGGCACTACTGGTGGGAATGCAGACTGGTGCAGCCATTATGGAAAACAGTATGGCAATTCTTCAAAAAGTTAAAAATAGAGCTGCAAATGACCCAGAAATTCACTTCTGTATATTTATCTGAAGAAAACAAAAATACTCATTCAAAAAGCTATGCACAACCCGACATTCAGTGCAGTACGACTTACAATAGCCAAGATAAGAGAGCAACCTTGGTGTCCATCAACAGATAAATGGAGAAAGAAAATGTGGTATGTATGTATAGGAAATAGAATATTGCTAGCAATAAAAAAATAATGAAATCGTGCCGTTTGCAACAACTTGGTCGACCTAGAAGGTATTATGCTCCGTCAAATAAGTCAGATGTAGAAAGACAAGAGCCATATAAGTTCACTTGTATGTTGAATTTGAAGCATAAAATAAACAAAAATAAAACAAAAACAAAACCAGACTACTAGAAACAGAGAACAAACTGAGGGTTGCCAGATGGAAGGGGTGTTGGAGGACTGGGTGAAAAAGGTGAAGGGATTAAGAAGTACACATTGGTAGTTACAAAATAGTCATGGGGGATGTAAAGTAAAGCATAGGGAATATAGTCAATGATATTATAAAGAACTGTGTATGATGCCCAATGGATACTAGACTTATCAGTGGTTTCACTTCATAAATTATATAAATGTCTAACCACTGTGGTACACCTGAAACTAATATAAACTATGAGAATGTCAACTGTAATTGAAAAATTAAAATAAGAAAAAAGTGACATCATTATTAAAGCTCATTTTTTTTTTAAATCATCCATGTTCAACCAGACCCTACATCTCAGGCATTCCTGGAATGTTAACACCAAGTGTCTGAATAGAAGCCCCATTCATATACAGCTTGGAAGGTCACTTTTACCACAGTGACTCCCAGAGGTTTACCTTTGTCTTTTCTCCATTTGTCACTACCGTCTCTTCAATGGACAGGATCCTGTTGCCTATAGGGAGATCGTTTTGCAGAGTCTCATGGGAAAGATGGATCCGCTTGCCTCGTTCCATGCACCTGAGAAAGAATGATACTACATTTACAATCTTGTCAATAGAAAGGGTATGGAGCATAACAAGTCCTGGAGAAAGTGTACCTTCTAGTCTAAGAAGATATGTCACCCAGAGAATTCTGGGTAAGAAGTCACATAACTTAGAAGACAAAATGGTCAGGGAAGGCTTCTTGGAAGAGGTGACATTTGAACAGAGTCCTAAGAGAAATCAAATGTAAGCCATAAAGATTTGGGGGGAAGGCAATAACAGGTGGAGGGAAGAGCAAATGCAGACCCTGAGCTAGGAGCTTGCCTGACATAATAAAGGAGCAAGGAGGCCTATGTGTCTGGAGATCCATGAGCATAAGACCAAGTATTACTCTTATGAAGCCATACCCATTTTTCTAGGCTGATACAGAATATGAAGCCCTGTAAGATTCTCCTTTACTGGCATCTCCTCCTGAATAAACTTTTTTACTCTGAGCCTTAAGCAAGAGCCAAGATATCCAGGAAAGCAGACTGCTAGAGGGAATGATAAGGTACTAGACTTGTACTCAGCAAAACTGCACTTTAACCCAAGCAATACTAGTTTGTGTGGCTTCTGACAACTCACTCCTTTTCTGAGGCTGTTTCCCCAACTGTTAAATGGAACTAATATTAGTTATATTGTGGACTTATTTGGACATTCTAGTAAGCACTTGAAATGTGGCTACTCCAAATCGAAATGTTCTGTAAGCCTAGAATACGTACAAGGTTTTGATTGCTTATGAAACAACTATATTTTGGATATGTTGGGTGAAATATTAAAATTTATTTTACTTTTTTTTAGTTTGGATAATGTGGCTAATAGAAAATTAAAAGTGTGACTTAGGCTGGTGGCTTGCATTGTATTTCTGTTGTATAACTGTTTGCATGGCTGGCTCCTTATTCTTTAAGTCTGAGGTTAAATATTTCTTCCTTATACTTTCTTTGCCAAAATACGTCTTTTTTATCCAAAGTAGTCCTGCCCCCATCATATTCCCTTTTTGTTCTTCAGGTACAATCAAGACCTCAATCTGTAAACAAGCTCATGCTATGCCTAGTATTTGCTCCCAATTTTCATGTGAATGTGACATATGTGGATTAGTGTGGCTTCTGGAATAGAGTAGGTATTCAATAATTGTTTACTTAATAGAAACTCTGTTAAGGAGAGGCACTTGGAAAAGGCATTTTTCCAGGAAAATTATTCACTACACATTCTTCTTCCAAATTGAAAGCTACAAACAATTTAACTGGCTTTATTGCATCTTAGCTGAGAGGGAACAATGTAAGTGACTTGGGAATCACAGAATGTTGGAATAACGAAAGGAGGGAGGGTAGTACAAAAGTAGGTGGGTAGATGGGACCACTGTTACACACACACACACACACACACACACACACACGAATCTTATCCAGGTGCCTACTGAGAAGAGATAAGTGTGCTTCCTAAGGACCTATGTGTAGGCAGGAAGCAATTGAGTGGAACTGGCTTATAAGAGCTGGCTGGAAAGTACTTGGGAGACACAGACTGGCAGCCCCTTCTATTTGAAGATCCAGGTCTTGGTCTGATAACTATAGCCCCTCCATTTTCCTCCAAACCAAGGCCACATCCTAAAAGTCTGGGCCTTCCAAACTGGATTTCCTAGACATTCCCATTCATAGTTCATCCCATAGTGATAGGGATACCCTTTCATTCACTGCCATCGCTTAAAACTCACCCTTCCACACAGTGCAGCAGTGAGTTAGTCAGATAAACTTCCCTAGTTAGCTAACATGTTATCCTTCGGACTACAACAGAAACCTAAGTGAACTGTCCTCACCCTTTCAGAGTTATGACAGATACTTTGTCACGTGTGTCAAACCTGTAAGGAGGTTTTGTGGTAGGAGGTGGGTGAGCATTGATGAAGTTTTCTTCAATGCTGCCTACTCTTGGATTTGGGACAATTCATTTCACCTGTCTGAATTTTCCTTTTATTTTTTTTCTAATTCTTATAGGGGCCGCGTGTGATTCATTGTCCCAGAGGAGACTGAAGCAGACACTGAAATAGAGCTTATTGCCTCAAAACAAAGCAGAAAGTATCGAATATATTCTGGGCATATAGTAGAGCTTCAATAAATGGAAGCTCTTAAGGGGTAAGAGTCAGAATGCCCGGCTCTCATATTAACTTCTCTGTTGTGTTAAGTGAGTTATCTTTCTCTCTTAGCCTCTGTATCTCCGTTTGTTACCGGGGAAGAGGAATCCCTGTCCTACCTTCTATACCAAGATCACAGGAGCCTAAATGAGTGTTCCACTATCTAAAAATGCTATTTGCTGATATATTTTCCCACTGTGGGGTTACTACTCTAATCAGGCTTATCACGTAAGCAGTTCTCAAACAGATGAGACATGTCCCTTTTCCAAGCTCATTATTGACTTTTTTGGGGGGCATGCAATAAGAAATATTTAGAAACCTGCCCTATTCTGTTCCTCTTCCACTGACATCTTCAATCACAATCTAAATCTAAATTTGCCAGGCCTGTGATCCATAACAGTTGCTTCCACTTCTGATTTGGGGCTATAACTTTGGAAGGAGCTGGACGAAACCTGGAGTTTGGCAGCTAGTAGAGCACTAAAACTCTTCTTTTAGCTTCCCAGGCCCCATTCCAAGACCACTGACATCATCTGTCATATCCTATGGAAGAGAAAATCTCCTGATAAGATCTTAAGACTGCCAGTCCCTGGTATAGCTCAGGAAACCCAAGAGTCTAAACCATGTAGAGTCCTTTGGTCTGCAGGTCACTTACAGCTCATCTTTCTGGCTGCAGGGCTCCCAGGCCCACTTGAAGGAGGGCACAGGCAGGCCACTTGCTGTACAGCGAAGGATGTTCTCTCTGCCAAGGGGAATTGGCTGGATGTTCTTCAGATCTGTATCCTTTTCGTAGATCTTGGGTTTTTCTGGACAAGAAGAGAAAATGGTAGAGATTAAGGCCCCACACCAGGGCTAATATTTTAGCTGTACTACCAGTACAGGAATCCCAATGGTTAGAATACTGAAATATTCTACATCAGTTTAAAAATAAGGTGGGGCTGGGGCGTAGGCAGACCAGGGGAGAGTAATGCGTGGGCAGGGAAATGGGGACAAATGTAATTGAACAACAGTAAAAAAATTTAAATCACTTAAAAAAATAAAAAATAAAAATGAAAAACATAGCTGCTGCCCCAAGCTTTCTAAATGCCCTATCCTCATGACCATGACCCAACCCTGGTCCCTCCCCATGAATAGACCCTTCCCCCATGTCACCTCCATGACCCAGCAACTCAAGAGTTAATACCTGATCCAGGAGAGACCTCTAATACTCGGTGCCTGCGCTAAAGCAGGACCTGATTGGTAAATGCCTGTGCCCTACTGGTGATTATTTTAAATATTTCACGCTAAAGCAGGACCTGATTGGTAAATGCCTGTGCCCTACTGGTGATTATTTTAAATATTTCACCTCCAGTAGGCACAATAGAGCCCTGTTGAGGAGAAGTAAATCCAAGGCCCCAAATGGCAGAAGGTGTGCATTTCAAAATAATCTTTTGGATTGGAAGCTTACTAACAGCAGGACTGACATTAGGTTCACCTCTGCACCCTGGGCACGAGGTCAGTGGCCAAGAGTTATATGCTGAACTTAATTACAAAAGCTAACGGTAGGCTTTTTTCTATTTTCAGTAACATTTCTTGTTTGCATTTGGATTAAAGAAAACCAAGAACAACAGTAGGCTTCTACCTGATTTGCGGGAATCCCATTTCTGAGTTCCCTACATGTATGTCCAACTGCTTACTCCAATTCTCTAATTGAACTATATTAATAATAACATCAATGCTACTAACACTAATGATAGTTCATTGAGCTAGATGCAAAGCTTTGTTCTAAGTGCTTTATGCAAATGAACTCATTTAATCCTCACCCTGTGAGGTTGATAACTATGATTATCCCTATTTATAGACAAAGAGGTTAAAATATTAAGCAGCTTTCAGAAAGCCACACAGCTAGAAAGTAGAAGAGCTGAGCAATGAGCTCCGGTAGTCTAGCTCCAAAGCCCTCTCTCATAACTGTTTACAGCTCTTACAGCCTATAAATATCACAAACTCTACATTTCCATAAATAATAATTAATAACATCAAACTTATATATAGCACTTACCAAGTTTCAAGCACTGTTTTTAAGTGTTTTTTATAGATAGTATCTCATTTAACCTCATAACATCCCACTAGGAATGGACTTCCTTTAGTCCTACTTTACAGAAATCCATGTGTCATACCTGACCTCTCATTCTCCCTTAGTCCCACATTCTGCCAATCACTACAAGAGCAGAAGCTCAGTAACAGATGAAACTCTTACCAGTGTTGCTCCCTACTGTACCTGCAGAGCCTAGTACAGTCAGTGCTAGGTATGTTGTAAGTGCGCAATAAATTCATGTTTGAAAGTGTTAGGCCAGAGTCCTGTGTGATGAGACAGAGCAGAATTCCACTCCACTTTGCAATGTTGCTGCCTCTAATGTTCTTGTGAGATCTTCAGATCTTTATAAAAGTGGGGGTGTGGTTTAGGTGTTTGAGCAGTCCTGTTGAAAACTGACCTCATTAAAAACCCTGGTACATCTATACAATGTAATGCTACGCAGCAGAAAGAAAGTAGCTCCTACCCATGGCGCCAGCATGGATGGAGCTGGAGAGCATCATGCTAAGTGAGGTAAGCCAGGCGGTGGAAGGCAAATACTATGTGATCTCACCTCTAAGCGGAACTTAATAAACGAAATTAACTAACGAGCAAAATAGAACCAGCGGCATAGAATCACGGAACAGACTGTCGGTGGTGAAAGGGGAGGAGAGGGAGGGACTGTTTGAAAGAGGGGGAAGGGATTAGTCAGGAATATACATGCGTGACCCATGGACATGGACAACGGGGTGGGGACGGACTATGGAAGTGGCCAGCACACTGGGCAGAGCGGGCCACGGGGGAAATATTTGGAACAACTGTAAAACATAAAACAAGATAATGAAGGTGTGATAAAATCGTTACTTAGATTTTAAGACATAAGTTTTGTTTTTAAATGTATAGATATCATGCAGACTTCCAATATTAAATATACTAAAAAAAAAAACAAAACCTGACTTGAGTTGCATTTCTTCTCAGAAAATGTAAGAGTTAACTTATAAACCTTTACAAAAAGTTAATTGACAGGCCTTTACTACATTCACAGCAAAAATTTTTTCAACATGATGTGATGGAGGGCAGGCTACCCAGGTTTCCTTCATCCTTAACTAATACTATTTTCCTGGAGACTGTAAATACAAACTGTTGCCCACTGATCCTCCTTTGGCAATTTGCCTTCAATTTTATCTCCCACTCCTTCCTACTTCCCCCCTCCCAGGCCTGACCAACTGTACTTCTAGTCAAAGACCAGCAACATCTTTCCTTTTCTGCTTCTTGTGGTTATCGCATCAAACTCTGAAAGAGTTTTCAACTTCCCCAAGCTCCACATGAATCTCTAGACAAGAGTGGGAAGACTGGAAAGTTAGCTCTTTCAGCCCCTGAAACACCCTAATTCTAGGAAAAGAACAGCTAATATAAGTGTGTACCTCTGGCTGAGAGCGGTACTGTCCTTGAAAGTGTGGTCCTCACAATGACTACCTCTAGCAATAGAAGGGTCTATTCCTGACTTCATCAAGAGACAAGTTCCACCTCCCCTTCACACAATTTCCTTGTCCTACTCCCTTTCCTTTGTTTGAAGCAAGTAAAATAAGGACAGTCACCGGATTTCCTCTGGTAAATGAATTTTACGATCAACACGTATTGTCCTAATTTTCCATGATCTCAGAGCTTTTTTTTTTTTTTTTCCTTCATCGAGTGCATTCTTGGCTCTAGTACGAAGGACTTAGGAATGAAGAGACATATGACTGACATGTCAAAAACATGGTTGGAGTCCTTGTCTTTCACTGTTGGATGGGATTATAGACCTGTTCCCTTTCAAAGGGGTTGTGGGAGTAATTAAGAAGATTTGCTTTTGGTTGGTGTTTGGTGATGAAAAAATATACATGAGAATGAGAGGATGAATGAATGAATGAAGTAAAAAAAATCAAGCTGGACATGAAGTATAAAGACAGAGAATTAAGTCTGGGAGGTCTAGTGTCGCCTTTTAAGGCTCTGGAACATTTGTCATACATTTGTATGAGCACTGACTGAAAATTCTAAGAAAAGGGATATCTTCTCCCAATCATAATTTTAAGTCCCTTTATTATAAACACATCCGGATTTGCAGGCATATCTGTGTTGGAGGAGAGCAGGTATGTTTAGGTATCTGTGATCTTGAGTCAGTCTCTTCCCCTCTTGGACTTCTGTTACCCAATCTGCCAGACAGGGGGTGGATTGAGTCTAAATAGTTATTGTTTCTCTTTCAGCACTGATTTTTGTGGCTGTTTGAGTCTACAGGATTCTTAACCCATTCATTAACTATTTCTTGAGTGCCTCTTGGGTGTTGTATACTATGCCAGGTAGTGAATAAGACACTGCTTGTATAAAAATATTGGTACAAAAGTCCCTTTATTGATGGGAGTACTTGGCTTTCCTGAAAATGGCTTCAAGAGTTCCAGGCAGACAGTGGAAGGTCAAGACCAAATACCTACTCTTTTCAGAGCCACGGGATCCATTGTTTTAAACGCATTCATGGGCCACATGGGAGTGACAAGTGTCCCATTTCCCACCATTGTTTTATCATCCCCTGAATCACAAACATGTCAAGAAGGCCCCAAATGACTCAGAAGGCTAGTTCCTACATAATTATTCCAATAGATGTCATATTTATATTCTTCAAATATGGTTGGGTAAGCTAACCACCATCATGGTGGGAACTTGGTAGCCCAGAAAGCCATCAGTGATTGCTTAAGCTAATCCAGGCTGGAATTGTTTTTGGGATTAAACATAACTAGGTTGGGGCACGTTGTTTCAAGGTTCCACAGAGCAGTGAACTTGGAGAAAGCCCACTCACTTTTTTCAGTCAGTTTCAAATAGTAACATTACTGAGTGAGACTAGAACGATAATACATGTAATTTCAGTGTGCAAAGAACCATGGGAAAGATGCCAACAGCAATTCTTTATGTAAGCCTGAACACCATGATTCCAATAAAGAAGTCAGTTAATTGTGTGTAATTATGTGTACTGCAGGTGTGGGTGGGGAGATTTGTTTAAAAAAAGCACATTTGAAAAGCTTTGTATTTAGACCTGAAAAAAATTAAGATTGAGCAGGAGTCAAATAGCAGACAACTTGAACTACTAGGACTGCTTTCTGAAGAGAGAAGAGAAGCTACACTTGTGGGATGCCAGCCTGTGATGTACTAGATAATTTGTTCATAATAAAAAGGGTTGCTACTTATTTAGGGCTTATGCTATGCCAGGTATTTTAATGCAGTAACTCACTCAATCCTCACAGCAACCCTAAGAAATATGTATTGCTTTCCTTGTTTTGAAGAAAAGGAAAGCTGGCACTCTGAGTTAAAATTATGCCAGAGTCACACAGCGAGGAACCAATGAAGCAGAATTCTGTCAGACTCCAAAACTGCGTGAAGCTCCATGTATTATACCATGCTTTCATTCTCAGAGATCAGAGCGATTCTTGGTGCAACTCCTATGTGCCAAAGCTTTGTGATAAGCCTTTACATTTATTAACTTGTTTGATTCTTAAAATTCCACTAGGCACTTAGTGTTATCCACATTTAAGACAAGGAAAACAAGCTCAGAGAGTTCAATGGATTGACAAAGGCCATTCAGCTAGTGGCAGAGGTAGGATTTGAACTCAAGGTTATCTAACTCCAAAGTCAGGACCTGAATAGACACTTCTCCTAAGAGGACATACAGACGGCCAATGGACATATGAAAAAAATGCTCAACATCACTAATCATCAGAGAGATGCAAA